AGTACTGAGGGAAGCTGAATGTGGTGGTGCACACCTGTGATCCTAGTACTCAGGAGGCTGAGGCAGGAGGATCTCGATTGAGTCTGAGCCTGCCTAGGTTAACTCGGGTAACTCGGTGATCAGGGGCCATCCTGGGTTGTGTACTCTGGGAGGCTGAAGCAGGAGGATAATAAGTTCAAACCCAGCTTGGGCAATTTTGCAATTTAGTGAGACCCTGTCGCAAAAACTTACCTCAACTGCTAAAAAAAAAAAGATCAGGGATATGGCTCAATAGGAAATCTCTGTGAATTTTTGTGTTTTGTTTTTGTTTCTTTTTGGTACCAGGAATTGAACTCAGGACCTTGTGCTTGCCAAGCAGGTGCTGTGTTGCTGACCTAGATCCATGGCCCAGGGTCTGAGTTTAATTTCCAGTACTGCAAACAAAACAAAACAATGAAATAAAATAAGGGCTAAGGGTGTGGCTCAGTGGTAAAGTGCTTGCCTAGAATGTCTGAGGCCCTGGGTTCCATCCCCAGCATTGAAAAAATAATGTAAAATAAAATGTTAAAAAGAAAAACTGAGGGTCGGCCAAATAGCTCAGCAGATTAAAGCACCTGCAAGCAGATGCAGGGGCCGGGGGTTGGATCCCTGGGCCAGCCATGCAGACCCCTGCCCCGTGGTGCACTGAGATGGCAATTGAGACTGGGCGTGGTGGTACGCACCTATAATCCCAGCTCTTGGGAGGCTGTAAACAGGCAGATCACTACAAGTCTGATCTAGTAGTGAGACCCTGAACACTCTGTAGACCCTTCCCTAAAATTACTAAATAAATAAATAAATAAAAAGAAAAACTGGGCCCAGAACACAGGAGGCTGAGGCAGGAGGATCACTCCAAGTTTGACACTATCCTGGGATACACGGTGAATTCAAGGGCAGCCTGGATTTCATAGCAAGATTCACTCCAGAAAGAAAGAAAGAAAGAAAGAAAGAAAGAAAGAAAGAAAGAAAGAAAGAAAGAAAAAAGACAGGGATCCCCCCAAAACATTATAATCCCTTTGGTGGGCTTCTATGAACAAGTACAAGAAAGACATTATTTTTTTATTTTTTACTTTTTTATGTATTTGGTTGTTACAGGGTCTCACTACGCAGCTCAGACTCGTGGTGATCCTTCTGCTTTCAGCCTCCCCAGTGCTGGGATTATAGGTATACGCCACTATACCCAGACTCTGGCTGGCTCAGCCCGCCCTGGGAGAGGGGCTGGCACAGCATGTGGCACCAAGGATCGAACTGCAGGCCCTGTGCTTGCCTAAGCAGGTGCTTTAGTCTGCTGAACTATCTCGCAGGCCCTTCTTTTTCTGAAACAGGTTTTGCTGGAAGTCACTGAATTGCCCAGTCTGGCTTTGATCTCCCAACCTTCCTGCCTCAGCCTTCCAAGCACTGGGATTCCAGCTATGCACCATCTAGGCCTGCACTGTCTTTCTCCTCCCCTCCCCTCCTCGTCCCTCCTGCCTTTCTAGTTCCTTTTAGCCTTTATTGCTGGGGTGTGTGCAAAGGAGAAACTAACTTTCCACTCTTGGTCACCAAGGCAGCATTCATTATGGCTCTCATATCCTGTGGACGCTTCTATAATGTAGTCCCACAATACCTGTCTAAACCCTGTAGAGAGACTGAAAGCTAGAAAAACTGGGTGTGGTGGTGCACGCCTATAATCCCAGCACTTGGGAGGCTGAGGCAGGAGGATACTTGCAAGTTCAAGACCAGCCTGGGCTTCAAAGTGAGCTTAAGACCAGCCTGGACTGCATAGTGAGTTCCTGTCTCAAAAAAACTAAAACCAAACCAAACCAAACCAAACCAAAAAAACTAAAGGAAACAAGAAAATGGAAAATGGAGGATCAGGTAGGGGAAGTGAGGTGGACTGAAGCTGCAGCCTGGGCCCAGTTAAACTATGCTGATTCGCTTTTCTCTCATTAACATCTCTCAAGCCACACTAAATTTGCTTTAAAAGTACTGAGGGAAGCTGAATGTGGTGGTGCACACCTGTGATCCTAGTACTCAGGAGGCTGAGGCAGGAGGATCTCGATTGAGTCTGAGCCTGCCTGGGTTAACTTGGGTAACTCGGTGATTGTGGGCCATCCTGGGTCATGTAATGAGACCCTGTCTTGAAAAACAAAGCGAAAATGTACTTAAGCGCTGGGTGTGGTGGTGCCTGCCTGTGATCCCAGCACTGGGCAGGCTGAGGCAGGAGGTCTGCTGTGAGCTGGAGGCTACCCTCAACTATGTAGTGAGGCTGTCTCAAAACAAAAATGAACACAAGTGCTTAGGGGCGGGAGTAGTTCCGTGGCAGTGAGAACGCAGGAGGGGTGGGGTCACCAGGGCCCACGTTAGTTACCAGATCTCCAGCCACTCCAGGACTCCGGCGCCCCAGCAGGGCGCTTGGCGAGCGCTGCATGCTGTCCCGTAGCAGTTTTCGTCGGCGTCAACGCACTTGCAGTACTATCTTCGTCGCTAGGTGGCGCCTGAGCCCAGCTGATGCCCTTCCGGAACCCTATGGGCAAATCAAAGCCCAACACTCTGGGAGGCTGAGGCTGAGAGTGAGGATCGTAAGCACGAGCCCAGCTTGAGTAATTTAGGGACACCCTGTCTCAAAATTTAAAAACAAAACAAAACAAAAAAAGCTATGTATCTATCTATATCTATCATCTATCTATCTATCTATCTATCTATCTATCTATCTATCTATCTGAGAGTCTCAAAATGTAGGTCAGTGCAAGTGCCTGAGTTCAATCAGTACTGCCAAAAAGAAAGAAAACAAAAAACCAAACAAAGAAAAAGCACTCAAGCACAGAATAGTCACTCACTGTAACAAAGAACAGACCAAAGCAGGACTAAGTAGGACAATCTGGCGATGTGAACGGGCAGGAAGTGCGTGTGTACCGGGACCGTGGGAGCCGTGCAGTGCTGAGCACCTGCCCGTCCTGCGGGAGTTACCAGGGTTCATTTCCCCGAAACAAAAAGACCTCTGAGCATCAAAACCTATATGGAATATCAGAGAACCCATGTACTTAACACGCAACTTAAGCACAGAAAGCCATGGGGGGGGGGCACAGCTGGACCCAGCTGTGTTGGATTTCACCCGTCCCTGTGCCTGTGTCCCTAATTGCTCCTATCTATCCATGGGAGCTCCTAGACTTCTGTGCTACCTTTTTACCTTGTCAATAAAGTGACACTTCAGAGGCAAGAGAGGAACCGCTTTGTCACTAGCTGCTGGGGTATCAGCAAGGTCAATTATCTGGGAGAAGAACCCCCGCAGACGCCCCACCCTCCTGCAGTCTTGGCTCCCTCCGCTCTGCTCTTGGCCCTTCTGAGCTCCAAACTGTGAAGTTTCCACGGCATCTCCTGAATGCAGAGTGAGCCTGCGCAGACTCCTGCTCCAGCCAGAGCCAAAGTTTTGGATGGATCTCCGGCTTCAAAGAGTTGGTTAGTTCTGTTGTCAAGCTGAGTATTATTTTAGAACATGGTAATGAAAACTGAGGAATGAGACTCAAGGTGATGTGTTTTAATATAAATATTTTATTCCTGTAGCATATAAAAGGTATAAACATGATTTCTGTAAAGTCAATCACCTACACTCAAGTGGAGTACTTGGCAGTGGGGCTGTGGCTCTGTGAGCCAGAGGACAGAGGATGTGATTGAGTTGTCCTGCTGGAGGTCTCCAGGCTCTGTGACACCCTGCAGCTGGAGAGGAGACAGCTTTGTTTCAACAGGGGTGGCTCATTAGCTTGGGACAGTGGGTGGCAGAGGCAGACGGGCCTCAGGGCACTTTTAGAAATGAGGCACTTGATGGGAAGCTTGCCTGAGATGGAAACAGTCTTCTCAGAACAAGCCGGCCCAACACAGCAGGGCCTGCTCATCCTGGATCTCTGGCCTTCACAGGGCTATTAGATGTGGAGTGAGGAACAACAGAAGCAGAAAGAAGGCCCAAAGAAGAGAATTATCTGGGGCACTGACTCCTTATCCCAGGTTGGCAGGCAGCTCAGAGCACAGAGGCCTGGTAGCTGAGCAACGCTGTGTGCTGATACAGTGGGCCAGAGCATGGTAGGACAGTTCCAATTTTCTGGGAAGGTGTGTAACTGGAGAGACTGAGCAGGAGCTTTAGGACCTGTGTGGGTGGCCCAGGAGCACCGTCCACACTGCTCGGGCAGGTTCAGGACCCAGAAGCAAGGCCACCATGGAGCCAAGCTCTGTCCAAGTGAGGTCTGCAGAGTCCAGGCCGCCTCTCCCGGCAAGGGCACTGCTCCAGTGCCTGTGTGTGGTGCTCCCTCGCCCACTTCAGTGCCTGCAGATGAGTGTGGGAAGCACACCTGGGCTGAGAATAGAGGCAGCGATCAAAAGATTCTGGGTTTTCCCTAGACAGTCCCCTATGCTGAGGTGAAGACAATTAGAGCCAACGCTGCCAAAGCTGATGGCACACCTGGCCACACACACTTAACTGAGATGGGCAGCTGCCAATCACAGGGAAGAGGACCATGAAAGCACAGCCCCTGTGAGTCCATGAGTGTGCCTGGGTTCTTTTCTCCCATGAGGAAGTTTGGTGGGACAGTGCAGCACAGTGCGCTGACTCTGGGTTCTCTCAGTCCTGATGGCACTCTAGAGCCATTGTCACCAAAAGCAGAGCTATGTGGATGTTGGTGAAGACAATTTGTAGGGCTGTGGGCCCAAACTATGCCACTTTCTACTCACAGCTTGTGACTGTAGGCTGCTGTGGAGATGCTTGAGCCACAGAGTACAAGGACAGACCTAAAGCAGGGTATGGGTCAGATGTGGCCCTCTGCCTCTTCCGTGTAAGTGGTTTATTGGAACACAGCCACACTCCTCTGCGTGGGGCTATCTGTGCTGCATTTGTACTACAAAGACAGATCTGAGTAATTGTGAGACTAGTAGGACTTTCATTGAGTGTGCATGCTTTTCAGCCTGCAGGCTAAAGGCAATTCAGGGAACTGTCTCTCTCTGAAAAAAAGATCTATAGGGGGCCGGGGAGATAGCTCAGTAGAATAAGTGCTTGCCTGGCAAGCACAGGGTCCTGAGTTTAATCCCCGGTACCTTAAAAAAAAAAAAAGGATCTAGAATCCAGGGACTAGGGTCTACATCAGTAACCCCTGTACTCAGGAGGCTAAGGCAGGAGGAACACAAACTGAAGGCTGGCCTGGACTACATAGAGAGAACCACAGTCTCAAAAAAATAAAATGAAATAAAAATAACTGTGAGAGCTTGATCTGGTTCTTCGGCTATGAGTTTCTCAGCACAGAAAATCTTTCTCAGGAGAAACAGGACAGTGACTTCAGAAGTCCCCGGTGCCCTGACAAGTGGCCTTCTGGCTAAAACAGTTCACTCAGCAAGCTGTGCCCCAATGTGTTGAGGAACATACCTGTGCTCACATCTGCACAAACACCACACACATCTGTGTGCTCAGGGGTCATTAGAAGGGACAGACTTTTTCGGTTTTTTGTACCAGGAATTGAACTCAGGACCTTGCGCTTGCCAGGCAGGCACCGTGCCGCTGAGTTACATGCCCGGCTCCAAGGGGTAGACCAAGAGCTCTGTGTGAAGAGGAGGAGACTCCGCCGCCGTTTCCTCACTCACACGCCAGCTTGCTGTCAAAGCTGGAGAGCCCGACAGCGAAAGCCTGGAGTGCACAGAGCGGGTAGTTGTAGTCCAGGGTGAACACGTCGTCTGCCACACGCCCAAACTGCATGACGATGTAATCAGCTAGAAGCAGAAAGCAAGTGGATTTTACAAGGTGACACAGGCAGGCCAGGTGTGGTGGGTCACACCATAAGGCAGGCACATGAGAGGCTGAAGCTGGAGGATCGCAAGTTTGAGCACAGCCTGGGCAACTTAGTGACTTAGCAAGATGCTTTGTCCACACCCCCTAGTCTCACTATGCAGTCCAGGATGGTCTTGAATTCAAGGCAATCCCCCTGCCTCTGTCTTCCAAATATTAGGATTACAGGAGTGTGCTACCATGTCCAGCTCAAGACTGTCTCAAAAAAGAGGGACTGAGGATGTAGCTTACCATGAGGGCCCACCCACAATTCCTAGTGCCTTTTTTTTTTTTTTTTAAAGGAAACTTGTAAGGATAGGAAGAGGCAACGAGAGCATCTGCTCATCACAACTGAAGTTTGTGTGAGTTGCTCTCACCTACAGAGATGAGAGACGGCTCCTTAGCAGCACCAAGGGCAGAGCTTGCTCTGCGAGCCACAGTCATAAGGGCTTTCCCGAGTCCCTGTGCCTAGTCCAAAGCCCGCCCACACCACCCTCCCTCCTCTCTCGGGTTCAGCATGGCGGTGAAGATTTCCTCTAAAGATGTCCTTCTGCCCTTCTTTCTTTCCAAGCACTCTCATCTCGGCACCCCTCCCACCCCCATGACCCCAGCTTACGGTCGTTATCATGCACTATCTGGAAGTTCTTCACTGACGCCTGAGTGACCCGGCCATGGAAGTTGAGGACATAGGACTGTGTGTCATCATTCCACACTGGGGCTTTGTTGTGCAGCTCAATCAGGTTCTCCATGGCTCTGCTCTGCCACTTGGAAAGCAAGCTCTCGTGGTCCTGCCAGGGGAAGAACAGGCTCTGTACTGAGAATTACTATTTATTTATTTTTTTTTTGGCGGAACCAGGGATTGAACTCAGGCCCTTGCGCTTGCCAGGAAAGTGCTTATTCCACTGAGCCATTCCCTGGCCCCCGTGTACTGAGTATTATAAGCACAGGGTTACTCTCAATTCTTCTGGGTAAAAAGTATAGTGCAGAGAAATGTTTTTGTTTCAGAAAGAGTAAAGCACAGCAAAGAATTAAAACAAAACATGACCCCAGTCTTTTCCTTTTTATTTTTATAACTCTGGCTGGCCAAATAGCTCAGTGGACTAAAGCACCTGCTTAGGCATAACACAGCAGCCAGGGTTCAATCCCTGGTGTGCCATGTCAGCCCCGTCCATTGGGCACACTGAGAAGGCAAATGACACTGGGCATGATGGCGTGCACCTGTAATCCCATTACACAATCACTGTGAGTCCGATCTATGTAATGAGACCCTGGAGACCCTGTACTAAAATATAAAAAAATTTCTATACAGTCTCCAGCATTGCTGTTTGCATCTTTTTATTTTTCCTTCTGTATTTAGGACAGGGTCTACAGGGTCTATAGGACCTCCCTATGTAGATTGGACTCATAGTGATTCTTCTGGTTTCAGCCTCCCAAGTGCTGGGATTACAGGCACATGCCACCATGCCCAGCCTCTACTGCCATGGGGTGGGGCTGACAGGAAATGTGGGGGATCAAACCCCGGCAGCTGTGTTTTGCCTAAGCAGGTGCTTTAATCCACTAAACTATCAGGCCGACCCCTTCGAGGATTTTTTTTGGCTGGCTCAGGCTGCCTTAAAGGTGAGTCTGGTAGGGCAGGAGACTGAACCATGGTCCCCTGTACCCGACTGAGTTTGCCCAAGCAGGAGCTTTAAACAACTGAGCTAACCTACAAGTCCCCACTGTTTGCATCTTTTTTTTTTTTTTTTGTGGAATCAGGGATTGAACTCAGGCCCTTGCGCTTGCCAGGGAAGTGCTTATTCCACTGAGCCACCTCCCCAGCCCCTTGTTTGCATCTTTTGAGACGGTTTTTAGATACCTGACTTCAGCAAGACCCCTGGATCTGCCCTGTCCTGAGGCTGTGAGCAGCAGCTCCACAGAGCCAAGCCAGGTACTGCTGCGGGTTCTGGGGGCAAGACTGCTGGCAGTGGTCTCCTCCAGCCTGCACTACTGCCTCTCACGGTCTCTGCTGATCAAACACGCTCCTACTTACATTTCGTGGCTGAAATGGGATCCGTTCATGATTCATATTCATCCCTGGAATAATCACAGACATTCTCCTAGGCCCTTTAAATCCAAGCACATTTGTTTCCTGGGAGACAGGAAAACAAGGCAGAATTTAGAAACATGGGAAAAAGACAACAATTCTGTGCTGAGACAAGACTTGCTGGGCATGTCAAATGCTGGCAACATCAACAGCACCAAGAGTGATTCCAATACTTTGCTGTGGTTAAAAAATAACAGAGAATCAAAAATAGGAAGCCAGGCATTATGTCACCTACAGCCCCAACTGCTAAGGAGGCTGAGCCAGGCTTATGAATGTAGATGCTTGAGATTGGCCTGTGTACACAAAGAGACCAAAAGAAAGAACCCAAAAAAGTATTTCTGTACTTAAAAAAAAAAAAAAAAAGTAGCAGTGGAGTGAATCCACAGCCTTCTTGCCGAGTTACACCCCTGACCCCAGGCATGAGCTTGCAAAGTTCTGCCTCATCCGCCTGGAAAGCTGGGATTACAGATGCACGATACTACATTCAGCTATACTATAGCAGAACTTCTTTTTCAAAAACATTTAAGCCAGGTCTGTGCCAGCGAGACAGCTCAGCAGTCTAAAGTGCCTATTTAGGCAGACGCAGGTACTGCGGTTGATTCATAGCACCACATGCCACGCCAATGCCCAAGGAGGGCTGAGGGGGCCAAGGACAAAGGTTTTTTTTTTTTTTTTAAAGTAGAATCATTCTTTTTTTTTTTAACATTTATTTATTTAGAGTGTGTGTGTGTGTGTGTGTGTGTGTGTGTGTGGCCAGCTCAGCCCACCAGGGGGCGCAGCTGGCTGGCATGTGGTGCTGGGGGATCGAACCGCAGTCCCTGTGCTCTGCCAAGCTTGTTCCAAATAGGTGCTTTAGACCACTGAGCCATCTCACCAGCCCAAGGGTTTTTTTTTTGACACAGGTTTGACTGTGTTGACACTTCACCCTGTAGACCCTTCCCAAAAATAACAAAAAAAAAAAAAAAAAAAAAAAAAGACGAGCCTGGGCTACTCAAAAAAACAAAGGCCAGCCTGAACTGCATAGTGAGACCCTGTCTGAAAAAGACTTATAATAATAATAATAATAATAATAATAATAATTTATTGTAACCTCTGGTCAATGGATAACAGGTAAAGAAGGTCTAAATTAAGTGAAAGTGACATCACAAAAACAAAAGAGCAGATAACCTTATGTAAAAAAAGCTGAACATGGTGATTCAAAAATAATGAGAACATAGGGCCGGGGATGTAGCTCAGCGGCACAGCACCTGCTTGGCAAACGTGAGGGCACAAGTTACATTCCTGGTACCAAAAAAAAAAAAAAAAAAAGGAATCTTATGCTGGGCATAGTGGTATGTGCCTGTAATCCCAGCACTAGCGAGGCTGAGGCAGAAGGACCCTTGCAAATTCAAGACTAGGCTGGGCTACAAAGCAAGCTCAAGGCCAGCCTGAACCACATGATAAGACCTTATCTCAAAAAGACATAAACAAATAATGAAAACATGACTGTACAGAGAAATGACAGCAGTGACTGAAGAAGGAATCCCAGATCCAGGGTGTGCGGGAAGGAGCTAGGGTGCAGGAGGTGTGGGGACAGCACTCACGTAACAGATGGCAGCCAGCTCCTGCCGGGTGTGGGCCTTCTCCACCAGGCCCTGGGCCTTCACTGGGCTGACACCATGGTCATACACCGTAAACTTGGTCCCCATAAGGTTAGACCTAGTGCCAAGAAACAAAGTCCTCAAGATGAGGTGCACGTTCCCGTCAAGGAGCGGGCAAAAACAGGGCCTGTCTGCCTGTTCTCAATGCCTGGATGATTGGTGTCACTTTTTCAAAGCTCTCTAATGGCAACAGGAGGGGAACTGAATTTTGCTTTCTGTCTTTTTCTTTGTTCATCAAATCTCTACATGCTAGTTGTAAAAAAAAGTATTGATTATTCTGAAACAAAAGGAATAGCCCTATCAGAACAGGACAAGAGTGTAAGGCTGCTCACCTGAGCTTGCCAATATAACTTTCCCCTTCTCGAGATAAATCTGTTGGGTCAGTGGAGATCAGATAGTTGGATGTTTTGCTCTTTTTCCGCTTTCTGCCTGCAAGAAGAAATATCTGGGGAGAAAGAAGGATCAGTCAAAAAATAAAGTCAAGTGAATGCCCCTGGTTCTACCCGTTCATTCAGCAAGTGTTTAGCAAGTGTCTGCCATCACTGTTGGGTATGCATCCCTTTCTCTGGCCCTCCCTATGCTCTGGAATTCTCTACAGCGCTCACCTCTGGTGAGGCCCCAGGCTGAGCCCCCAGCAAGTGTTGGGAGAGGTGGTGTTCACTATCACAATTTCTTGTCTGTACAATTTTTGTAAACATGCCAGTTGAGTCTCCATATAACTACAGTGGGCCCTTTAGTTACGACCTGCCCTCACATCTGAACAACTTGGGTCACAACTGGAAAAAGTAAGTTTAACTTACAACCAAAGTACTGACTTAGGACTTGAATACTGGCCCTTACATCAATTTTTAGTTCTGAAAAAGTTGAGACCTAGTGTGCCAGAAGCAGGTCCTAGTGGGCTACAGACTACCAAAGAGAAAAAGGGTACCAGAAAGCCCGATTTGTGATGTTCTTATGAAAGGGAACCCTCTTCCCAAACAGTAACTGCCTTGTATTTCATCCTCCCTTCCTGAAAGCCAGAGATGTCAGCTTGAATGATGAAGACAGTATGAAACTGCTTCTGATAAACTAGGCACATTTTCTAGCTTTCTGGTGAATACATTAACAAAATTATTGGTGTTTCTAATAAACTACAAAAATTATACAACCTTTTTTTTTTTTCTCCGAATGCCTTCAGGGCAGGTTTGGCTGGCTTCAGTTGTGGGGATCGAACCACAGCAACCTGAGCCTGACTGCTTTGTTGAAGCAGCCACTTAAAAAACTGAGCTAAGGGGCAGGCCCCCTACAACCATTTTTTATTATGAAAAGGTTAGTTAGGCTGGGCATGGTGGCATATTCCTGTAAGTCTAATACTCAGGAGGCTGAGGCAGGAGGATTTCTGTGAGTTGAGACCAGCTTGGGTTACATACTGAGTTTGAGGTCACGTAACAGATGACCTGAACTACATAGCAAGACTCTGTCTCAAAATGCCACCAGGAAAAAAAAAAAAAAAAAAAAAAAAAGCTAAGGGGTGTATTGGGAGGTTCAGAATGCATTATGGGTACTTCCATTATTTTTAATGGGAAAAGATAGTCTTGACTTAAAACCAATGAGTTACAACCAGCCCTCAAGAACAAAATTTAGGGGCCAGGGAGATGGCTCAGTGGAATAAGTGCTTCCCTGGCAAGCACAAGGGCCTGAGTTCAATCCTCGGTTCCGCCAAAAAAAAAAAAAAAAGAACAAAATTTAATTCATAAATCAAGGGTTTACTGTATTTACAACTTATTCTATAGCTTCTAGTATCTTCTAAACAATCTTCATCTAAACAATCTTCATCTCTCCAAGCCAGGTGGCACTATGTGAGGTGGTACTATGTGATAGCTCAGAACTCAAGGTTTCCTAGGCACCCTGCCCCAACCCCAACTCCAATCCCTCCCCATGTTGTACTCTGGTCTTGGCTCACTTCCCCTTGACCCATGCTGGTCTTGGCTCACTTCCCTCTGACCTAAGTAGAATTAAACCTTATGGAAGAAAAATGTATGTCTACCTGTGATCTGGCTGTTTCAGCCCACAGTCACCTTCCCTAAAAGATCCTATAAAGTCTCCTATACCCTCTTTGTCTGGGGCTGTCTTGGCAGCCTTTCACTTGAGCTTCCAGTAAACCTGCTTTACTTGTGTCAAGTGTATCTGGTCCAGTTCTGCATGGGTTCAGCTGCCTTGGTTTGACCTTTCACTATACACATGTAATTTCAGCATTCTGAGTCTGGGGCAGGAAGATTAAGTTGAAGCCTAGGGCCTTGGTATATAGCTCAAGCCCAAGAACCTGGGTTTGGTATGCAGTACCACAAACAACAGCAACACCAAAATCCAAATGGGTGGGGCTGGGGAGATGGCTCAGTGGAATAAGTGCTTCTGTGGCAAGCACAAGGGTCTGAGTTCAATCCCCGGTTCCGCAAAAAAAAAAAAAAAAAAAAAAATCCAAATGGGTATGCCTGTAATACCAGCACTGAGGGAGGCTGAGGTAGGAGGCTCATAAGTTTGAGTCCTATGTGAACAACTTGGCAAGACTGTCAAAATGAAAAATGACAAGGCATGGTGACCCACTGAAATCCCAATGCTTGGGAGGCTGAGGCAGGATCAGTGTAAACTTCACAGTGGGACCTGTCTCAAAAAATAAAAAAAACAAAAAATAAAAATAAAAAGGGCTGAGAATGTAGGTCCTATCCTCCGTACTGGAAAAAAAAGTCTCCCTTATACTGAGGAGAGACCCTGTTCACCTTCCTGCTCCTTGTTCTTCTTGCCCCTCTGTACTCTGTTGTTTTGGACTTTGGTGACATCAGGAGTCTGAAAGCTGTAGGATTTATGCTCCTCCCTGGACCCCACCGGAGTAGGACAATACTAGGGAACCAGGAAAGGCAGTGCCTGAGAACAAGGTCTCTGGAATCACAGAGGCGGGCTTGAATCTGGCTCTGCCACTGCCAGTGTGACTGTGGACTGGTAAGTCACTCTCCAAGCCCTGTACCCTCATCTACAGCAGACAAGAGATCCTACACAGCTGGGGAGGTAGCTCAGTGACACACTACCTGCCTGTCAAGGGCAGTCTTGAGTTTAATTCCTGGTAAAAAAAAAAAAAAAAAAGAAAAGCAATCCTACATAGGCTGCGATAAGAACTGCAGGTGATAATACACATGACTATCTAGTGCATGCCTGGTATCTTGGAAACAGCCAATAAATAGTAGTTATAATAACAATGATGTGTGCACATGGAGGTGCACACCCATAATCCTAGCACTGGGGAGGTGAGGCAGGAGGATGGGTGCGAATTCAAGACTAGCCTGGGCTACAAATTGAGTTCAAGGCCAGCCTGAATTGCATAGCGAGACCCTGTTTCAAAAAGATAAGAAAACCCCCAAAAACTATGATGCTTGCTATCATTATCACATTATTAGGCTCTTAAAACCGTCCCCTAGCAGCGAGATAGCTCAGTGGTGTAAAGCGCCTGCTGAGGCAAGCTTAGGCACCACATGCTGTGCTAGCCCCTCAGGGAGGGCTGAGTTGGCAAAAATAAATAAATAAATAAATAAATAAATAAATAAATAAATAAATAAAATAAACACACACACACACACACACACACACACACACACACACACATATAATCATGGCAAAAACCCCCCAACAAAACACATCCCCTAGGGCTGAAGACATAGCTCATCGGCATAAGCACCTGCCTGGCAAGTATGAAGTCCCAAGTTTGATCCTTGATACTGCAGAAAAACATCATCAACAAACAAATGAACAAAAACACTCCACCCCTTACTCTTGGTATGAGTACAAAATGGATTTTTTTTAGGGGTGATCTTTTTGAGATGGTCTCACTATGTAGCTTAGGCTGGTCTTGCGTTCACTCTGTAGCCCAAGCTGATGTAGAACTCACACTGATCCTTCTGCCTGCTGGGATTACAGGCATGTGCCACTACATCCAGCCCAAAATGGATTTTTTTATTAGGAAGGATTAAATGGTCTTAAATGTTTAAATTAGAATTTCTAGGATGGAAAATAAAAATCTAACATACCTTCTATATTTCACATTTAATATGACCTCTGTATTTCCCATTTCTTCTATAACTTAAAACCTGCTCTCCTTCTTCCATAGTGTCATATTCAACCATGATAAAGAGAAAAACCAAGGAATGGTAACATCCAAAATAAACAATGAGAAGAAGGGAGAAATACCTCCAGCAATATATTCTCTGAAGCTGAGGGGATAACTCAATGGGAGAATATCTGCCCGGCATGCACAAGGCTGTCTGATGGCCAGTACCAGGAAATCTGCTTTCCTTTTTTTTTTTTTCCAGAACCAGGGATTGAACTCAGATCCTTCTGCTTGCTTGCCAGGCAAGCACTTAGTCTACTGAGCTATCTCCCCGGCCTTATTTTCTTAAATGACGGATAAAAATAATTTTCTTGGGGTGGACGAAGGTAGAGCTTATCTGCTGGATTATGAGCACTTTGAAGACACAGGAACACAGACTCTGGTATTAACAGGGCCAACCACAAGTGTAGCTCCCTTTCAGAAGGTTGCCCCTACCTCCCACAACAGATTTCTCTCAAGAGTGGCCTGGGGGAGGGGAAGAAGCCCAGTGGCAGAGCCCTCATTTAGAATGCTGGAGGCATGGGTTCAATCTGTAGCTGGAGGGGTTGGAATAAGAAAGAAAGGGTCAGGTATGGTGCCTCAGCCTCAGGATTTTTGAGTCTGAGCCAAGCTTGGGCAGTAACTTGGCAATTTAGCTAGACTTTGTCTCAAAAAAAAAAAAAAAAAAAAGTTAAAGATTAACTCTCATACTTTCCGATTGTCGTCTTTTTCCAAGTGCATAAAGTACGTGGGGAAGAGACCTCGATCCATTCCTTTCTTATCCCTGGTTATCCGGCACTTCACAGTGACACCGCGGGGGGCGGGGCTGTAAGCAAAGTCCTCCAGGTTCTCTGGTTCTCCCAGCTGGGTGTCCACCTGTGGGGCTGTGGTACCCGAAGCTCCTGTGGTCTGAAAGTACAGCCACACAGGGATGGAGGTGGATCAGACACTTACCATGCTCCCGACGCTTACTGATTGACCTCAATGTCTTGGATTCTGACAGAGTAAGGAGGCGTCTGAATAGTCGGATAACAAGGGAATAGGGGAGATGTTTAGTACAAATATGGGATATAGCCTTAAAATAGCTGACCTGCTGGGCTTGGTGGTACATGCCTATAATCCCAGCACTTGGGAGAATGAGGCAGGAGGACTGTCATGAGTTTGAGGCCAGACTGAGTCACAGAAATGACTTCAGGGCTAGGGATAGCTTAGTGGTCTAAGCACCTGCATGGCAGGCACAAGGACCAGGTTTGATTCCTGGTACTGCGTGCTGAGCCAGCTGAGGAACCCCAGGTGTGCTGTGCCAGCCCAAAACTGGGCGTGGTAGTATGTGCCTGTAATCCCAGTGCTCGGGAGGCTGAGACAGAAGGATCACTAAGAGTTTGAACTGCTTAGTGAAACCCTGTATGCAATAAAAACATTTTAAAAAAATTACTTCAAAGCCAGCCTGAACTAACAGTGAAATCCTGCCTTAAAAAAAAAAATCCACACCCAAAACCCCACAAAAACAAAAAATAAAAAAGCTGACTTGAGACAGAAAAAATTATAGAGGTCTACATTTGGACTTAAATCTTTTGAAGGAACCTCATTCTGGAATCGTATCTCAGCACTGAAGATACATCAGGGAAAGAGTCAGGTCAGGACCAAAGGAGAATGTTAGGACTACATACTGTGGTCGATTTCTGGCTGGATGCAGAACTGGGCCTCTCTGTCTCTGAATGATGTGACTCGGAATTTAGTTTTTCCCCTTCTTCTTCATCATCAGACTCCTCATCAAAGTTCAAACTGCCCGAGAGGCCTGCAGAAAAGAGCACTGTCAACAATTGCCTAGACTGCTTTAAGAGATGTGTGAAAGAAAGCTCTGATCTTGCTTAAAACATTCCTGACAGGCCTGGGGGACAGTCAGTGGTAGAGTGCCTGGTGTGTGTGTATGTGTGTTCCTGACCATTCTGACCCAAAACAGGTATCTGCCCAAAATCTGACAATTCCTCATATTCTCACATCGACCCCTTGTGCTCTCACTAATGCCACCCTAATGGCTGGGGGTGAAGATGTCTGCACCTCGAGTATCTAGGACAAGGTCACTGCCCCTCAGGAGAAGTGTGCAGAGCTCAGGAAGCTTTGCATCTAGTGACTTGACCTCTGCTTGCAATAATACAGTCTTCTCTTATTCCCTACAAGGCCAGCAAGGCGTGCTGTTCTAATGCAGATTAGATATTCTTCCTGCCCAGATCCTACTCCACTTAAACTCTCTGCAAACTTATTCAGACTAGATTGGGTGTGTTCAGGGTGGTATGGCCATAGACTGCAAACCTGCTCAGACGCTGATGTATAAATACAGGCCCTGCAGGTGGACAGTTCCTTTCTCCTATCAGGACAGAGGCTCCACCTGACCTCAGCTTTTGTACAGTGACTCCTGTCTTCTTTATCCTCCACTATCCTCCTTCTGGAAGTTCAAGAGCTGTGCTAGACAAGGCATCTAATTTATTTGATTCTGAGTTTTACTTTTTAGGGTTTTTTTTTTTGAGACAGAGTCTCACTATACAATGCAGGCTGGCCTTTGATTCACTATAGAGCCCAGGTTGACCTTGAACATTCAGTAATCCTCCTGCTTCAGCCTCTTGAGTATTTAGATCACAGGTGTGTGCCATCACACCCAGCTACCACCCTAACTGGGTGCCTTAAAATATTAAACTAGCCAGATGTGATGGTGCAAACCTGTATTCTCAAGACTCAGCAGGCTGAGGTAGGAGGATCACCACAAGTTGGAAGCTGGGTACTACATAGTGAGTTCAAGGCCAGCCTGAATTGCATATTGAGACTCTGTCTCAAAACAAAACAAAACAAACAACAAAACAAAACAGAAAAAACCTTTTTTGGGTAGCAAAAAGTCAAGATCCCATTATCATATGGCTGGTATGGCTATCTTCACTTTGTTGTTTTTCCTTCTTTTTTTTTTTTTTTAATTATTTATTTATTTATTTTAACATTTATTTAGTGTGTATGTGTGTGTGTGTGGCCAGCTCAGCCCACCAGGGGGCGCGGCTGGCTGGCATGTGGTGCTGGGGGATCGAACCGCGGTTTTGTTCCAAGTAGGTGCTTTAGACCACTGAACCATCTCTCCAGCCCCTTCTTTTTGTTTTTGAGATCGGGTCTTGCTATGCAGTTCAGACTGCTCTTGAGCTCACTTTGTGGCCCAGGCTAGTCTCAAGCTTGCAATGATCTTCCTGCCTCAGCCTCCTGAGTGCTGGGATTACAGGTGTGCGAAATCATGCCTGGTTTATGCTGTTTTCAAATGCCATTTTATATCAAAAACTTAATTTTTCTGACTATAACTTAAAACAGAGATCAAAGATTTTGCCCAAATAATTAAGATACCTAGGGGCCGGGGAGATGGCTCAGTGGAATAAGCACTTCCCTGGCAAGCATAAGGGCCTGAGTTCAATCCCTGGTTCTGCCAAAAAAAAAGAAACAAAGATACCTAAACTGGAGCCACTCATAGGACACAATCTCTCAAACTGATACATCGAAGTTAAGAGTTTAATCAACAGAGCACTTCATGGGTGTTACAGCGAAAACGCAAGCCGCCAAAGCACTCACACTGCACTCATCATGCACCAAGAAACCCACTCCAAGAAAGAGCACAGCAGTCAGTTCACAGAGCTGGGTGCAAGTGGGCAACCTGGCACTTACGGTCAGGGGTCAAGAACCAGACCAGGACTCGGGAGAGCTAGGCCTTTTACTAATTGACTAGATGATTTAGGATAACTAATTTAGCTTCTGGTTAGCTAAAAAATCTTCTGCTTTGGCTCTTGTCCATTCAGCAATGTCTTATTTTCTTTTGTTGTAAAAATACTGGCAGTAAAGTTAAAGGGAAATGTCTTAGTTACCTTCTTCATTTCTGAGACACAAAACCCACAAGTTAAAGGAAGAGAGGTTTACTCTGGCTCAAAGTATGTAGAAGTTTTATTCCATAGTTGGCTGACTTTAAGGCAGGGTGTCATGGAGGAGGGGCACTGTGGAGGAAAAAAATGTCTATGGTATTGCAGGCTGGAGGCAGCAAGGCAGCAGAAACAACAGCAACAGGCTTCCCTTTCCCTTTTATCCCCTCCAGCCTATAAACCTACTGAGCGGTGCCTCCATTTCCAGCCATAAGTGGCACAGATGAGATTCACAGTTACCAAGCTGGCTCCAAAGCTATGCTTTATTTGGTCTATGTCACGAGCCTTAGCTGCAGAGAGGAGGCTCTCTGTTCACTATCCCAAGTGACACATGCATCTTTTTTTTTTTCTTACATACATCTTACGTTTTCTATACCTTGGTGTCTTTGCACATGCTATTTCTTCTGGTCTAGCTTACACCTAGCCAGCAGTGTGATGCAGGGCAAGATACTGAGCCTCACTAAGAACTAGCTGGTTTATTTATTACTTTATATATTTAGTACAGGGTCTACAGGGTCTCACTACACAGATCAGACCTGTAGTGATCCTCTTGTTTTTCAGCCTCCCAAGTGCTGGGATTACAGGCATGTGCCACCACACCCAGTCTCAATCGCCCTCTCAGGGCACCCCAGGGGCAGGGCTGGCATAGTAGGCCCGGGGATCGAAACCCTGGCCCCTGTGTCTGCCTAAGCAGGCACTTTAATCCACTGAGCTATCTGGCCACCCCTGAACTAATTGGCTTATACATAAAAAGAAAACAAACACCTGTGACATCAGTATTAGGATATCTGCCCTCTCCCCCTCCATTCCTCCTTCCCTTTGTGTGCCTGGGGTCTACATCCTGGGCCCCCACCATGTGAACTATGCTCTAGCACTGTGCCATCCCCTTAGTCCCATAAGGGTATCAGAGGACTGCATAGCCAACGGGCCCATACACATCCTTTTTGGCTAAGCTTAATCACTCTTACAGCTTGTGATGTTCTAGATGTTCTCCTCTCATAGATGAGGCTTTCTGGAGCTGGCTGGACTATGGGCATGTGATACTGGGATTAAGGATATATGGTAATAAATTAATCCACTAATTAGAATTAGCAGTTCTTAGGGGCATCACTGCATCACTCAGAAGGCTGGTTGCCTGGATAGGATAAAAGGGAAAGGCACGTTCCCTGCCTGCTGCTTTGCTGCCTTCTGTCTGCTCTGCCAGGGACTGTTCCTCCTCTGTGATGCCCCTCTGCCATTCCACCCTGCCTTGGAGCCAGCCGGCTATGGACTGAAAGTGCTACAAACTATTTGCTAAAAAAAAGCTTTTCTCCCTTAACTTGTGAGTATCAGGTATTTTGCCCCAGCAATGAGAAAAGTAATTAAATAATCACTATCTCTCAATGTTTTTTTTTTTTTTTAAAGAATTATTTATTTATTTATTTATTTATTCATTCATTTTGTGTGTGTGGCCAGCTCAGCCCACCAGGGGGCGGGGCTGTCTGGCATATGGTGCTGGGGGATTGAACCGCGTTCCCTGTGTTTTGCTTAGCTTAGCTTGCTCTAAGTAGGTGCTTTAGACCACTGAGCCATCTCACCAGCCCTCTCAATGTCTTTTATCCCTTTAACTCTTGGCAGAGTAATTCTAGTTCTCTCCTGCTTTGAGTTGAGCCATCAGTCAAACTATCTCCTAACTGGTCTTCTCCCCAAGTTGATCCCTCCTCATTCACTCTTCATGGTACAGAGTAATTTTCTTTATCATTTTATTTTTTGATGATGGGATGGGAACCCAGGGCTCCTGGTCCTGCACAGAGTAATTTTTCTACAGTCTGAATGTGGTCACATCTGAAACTTCTCCTAGGTTCTATCATGTTTTAGATAAGCTCTACAGTCCTGCTGCTATGGCCTGGCCAGTCCTGGGTCACTTCCTATCCAGGTATATGTCACCTGTCACTTCCTCTGTGTTACTGCTGTTTTGAGGAAACATGTCCTCACATGTCAAACTCCTGCTCATGCATCACTTTCTTGGGTGAAGCACCCTTCCAGGGCTCTCCTGGCACATTAATTTTCTACCTGCAGCCTATGTAAGAACATGACGTTTCAATTAAAATAAATGCTAGAGGGCCCAGGGAGATGGCTCAGTGGTAAAAGCGCTTCCCTGGCAAGCACAAGGGCCTGAGTTCAATCCCCAGTTCCTCAAAAAAATAAAAATAAATAAATGAATGAATGAAATCAAATTAAATTTTAAAAAATAAAATAAATGCTAGAGGCTCTCTGATGCCTGGCTGCTATGAGGTGAACAACTTTCTTCGGCCCACGCCCTTCCATCATGCCATCCTGCCTTGGAGTAGAACACTGACAGACTGAAGCCTCTACAGACTGTAAGCCAAAATAAAACTGTCTACCCTGAAGCGGTGCATTGTGGGTATTTTGTCTCAGCAACATGGGAAGCAACCAAGACAGATTCTGGTACCAGAGAAGTGGGGCTCACTGCTATGACTACCTGGCCATGTGGTTCAGAAGACTCTGAAATTGGATCACAGAAGTTTGGAGATGCTAAACTGGAGAAGATCTCTAGGATAGGCTCACATGGTCCAAGCTCGATAGGAGATTGGTCAGAACTCAGAAGACCAGAACACTGATAAAAAGGTGGAGAATAGGACCCGGATTGAATCATTTCAGTTGGGAACGACTCCATCAAGACTCCAGGCCATGTGTGTTATGCTCCGGCAGAAGATCTGTCTATTCTGCTCATGCCCTGAAACTCAGCAGTAGACTGACATTTATGGTGGAGGACTAATTAATCTAGTGGAGGAAATTTCCAGGCAGCTTAGTATTAGGCTGTGGTATGGTACTGTTGGGGAATTTTAGCCAACTTTACATTGAGAATCAGGAGCAAAGAGCCCACTTGAGAAATTTTCATTTTCCTCACGAAAAGCCTGCAGTTTTAGCCAAGGAAAGTGTGGTTGCTGAAAAAATGAAAAAGAAGCCAAATACCCTGGCTCAGAGCAAAAGGGAAAATAGCTTATGGGCATGTTAGGAACCAACAAGGCCCCACCTTTACCAGGTTCAAAACTGCAAAGGTGAAAGTCTTTATTAAGAGAACAGCACCCCTGGGCACCAAGCTCAGGAATTTGTCCTCCAGAATTCACTTCACAGTGCTCAGCTACCCTGGCACGCAGAGGCCTCTGCAGCCACAATCCAAGGAGGCTGGCTACAGCATGAGCACACAGAAGACCATGGCATCATCGTGAGGTGCCAGTTTTATGGGCGGGCAGAATCTAAGAGTTGTGGGGTCAGCGAGGCTTCCACCCAGATTTCACAAGTCTGAGAGGCCAGGCAGTGAGTCTTTCAGAGGGCAGTGTGTGAAACTGCCAGGGTGAAGCCAAAAAAGGAGTAGAGACTCTAGGAAGCTGGGGAAGCTAGGAACATAGGACATTTGAGGAAAGCTTCGAGTGAACAAAGCCAACCTGAAAGAGGCCATGTGGGCTATAATCACTAGCCATGACATAGGCACAGGGGTGCCAGCGATTTGGTGCTTATATCTTGTAACAGTTTGCCTCAGGTGCTGGACATGGAGCTATAGAAATTAATGTTTGCATTTCTCCATTTTGGTTCTGCTTTAATCCCATTTCTTTCCATCCTCATTTCTCCCTTTTAGAATGGGAATGTTTATCCTGTGCCATCTTATGTAGGCAATATTTAATTTCTTTTTGATTTTACAGGGGTTCACAGCCAAAAGTTTTCTGAGTCTTAGAGGAGACTCTGAACTTGTATTTATCAGCACTGTTCTTCAGAATTTGGCATAAAGAGATGCACATACAATTTTGGGAGGACAGAGGAACAGTGTTATGGTTTAGATCTATTTGGATAGCCCACAAGAGCCCCAGCTGGTCATAGGCAGGGCTTCTGGAGGGTGACTGGTTTAGGGAGGTGATACAGCTGACTTGCTGTTAGGAGGTGGGGTGGGTTGGAAGAGGTGGGTCACTGGGGGCATGGCTGGCAGGATGTATCTTCCTTCCTGGTTTTTCCCTTCATGCTCTCTACCTCTTGGCTGCTGTGAGGCAAGCAGCTACTCTTTTTCCGTGTCCCTCTGCCACGCTGTCCTGTTTTAGAGCCAGCAAACTATGGCTGGCTGCAATGTCAGAGATGAGAATGTAACTAAGATAATCATGAAAGAGAACTTCCGCAATTGCTTCAGAATGTGGCAAGAACTGCCAGACATGTTGGTACCATACTATAACCTCAGTGTTTTGGAGGCTGAAGTGGGAGGATCACTGTTAGTTTGAGACCAGCCTACATTACAAATTGAGTTCAAGGCCTGCCTACACTACAAAAAAAAAAAAAAAAAATCAAAGTAGCAAGAAGGGGCCCGGGGAGATGGCTCAGTAGAATAAGTTCTTGCCCAGCAAGTGCAAGGGCCTGAGTTCAATCCACAGTTCTGAAAAAAAAACAAAAAACAAAAAACAAAAAACAAGTGTTTGAAGTCAGGGAAGGAGGGAAAGTATCCTTTTTTTTTTTTTTTTTTAAATTTTTTTCTCCTTTTTATTTTAATTTTGTCTTTATTTATTTATTTTTTGCGGAACTGCAGATTGAACTCAGGCCTTGCGCTTATTCTACTAAGCTATCTCCCCAGCCCCGAGGGAAGGTATCTTAAGGGAGTTATTAATGGTAGTGTTTTTTATTTTAACAATTAAAGTATTTTAAAATATTTACCATATATTTTGATCATGTTGCATATTAACATGTGAGTTTGTAGAACTGAGGCCACAACGTTCTTAATATAGTGAAAAGGACAGCCCAGTCATTTTTTTTTTTTTAATTTCTTGTTTGTTTGGTGTTTATTAATTTTTTAAAAAAATTTATTTATGTGTGTGTGTGTGTGTGTGTGTGTGGCCAGCTCAGCCCACCAGGGGGCGGGGCTGGCTGGCATGTGGTGCTGGGGGATTGAACCACAGTCCCTGTGCTTTGCTAAGCTTGTTTTAAGTAGGTACTTTAGACCACTGAGCCATCTCACCAGCCCGTTTTTTATTAATCTTTTAACTTAAATTTATGTATTTGGTACAATATCTCACTATGCTGCCTGTACAGCATGTGGTGTACGGGAATCAAACCTATTCCTTGTGCTTGCCAGCCAGGTTCTTAGACCGCTGAGCTATAATTTGCAGGCTGGGTTGGTTGTTTTTTAAAGACAGGGACTTGCTATATAGTTCAGGCTGGCTTTGAACTCTAGGCAACCTCCTGCTTTAGCCCCCTGAGTATAACAGATGTACACCACCATGCCCAGCCTGCCAGTTCACTGTTAAAGCTTGACAGGATGAAAGAAAAAGTAAGAGAAATGAATGAAAAGCTCACTCTTTTCTAGCTTGGAGGAGGAGAGATGACAGTGAAAAGACAAAACAAGAAGACATGAGGTCCCACTATCTCCTGCCCAGGCTTGGATGTGGGCAGGGAAGAAAGCACTAAGTCCATGGTGACATTAAAGGCAGGTGATTGTGTCCGGGCGCCTGCCATGACAGGATGAGATGGCCCATGCCAAACTTGGGAAAGAGCTGGGCAGGAGGGCTGGGTAAAACCGTAGAAGACTGACAAGGGGAGGGGTGACCAGATGATGTCACTAGCCCCAGACTTCAGGGGGATGTGTGTGCATGTGTGCGCGCGCGTGCGTGTGCGTGGGTCTTAAAATCATTACTAATTCTCACCATGTTTTTGGAGAATTTCCTGAAGGTCTTGTTTGGAAGTACAGTTTATAGTGCTTTCTTCACCAACACTGACTTCAGTATCTTCCTCTGTAGCAGAAGAGCCTACTGAGAGAATATGAAGTTTGGTCTCCACATCATGAGCATCTGGCTTTAGGAAAGCAGCTGGACCATCAATGCCTAGAAGCCCCCAAAACACAAAGGAGGAAAGTATTATACACTATATAGCTTGGTGGTTTTGGTACGTGCTACCACAATTCACAACTACCAAACCATTTCACCTCTCCTTCCTAAATATCGCAAGGACATTTATCCAAGATGGGGTTTACGTTAATAACATGCTTGGTTACTGAAGTAACATATACTTTATGCTGTCCTTTAAAACTAAAATTTAAGATACAGAGACTGGGGGTATACCTCAGTGGTAGAATATATACACAGCATAGGCAAAGGACTGAGTTCCAATCCTAGAACTGAAGGCAGGGGATGAGGCCAGGAGAACCAAGCAGGTCCTCCGCAGTACAGATTCTGTCTGAGCCCTACCAAGCAGCATGACAGAGAGGCCCTTCATCTTTTCTTTTGTCTTTCCTCACCAGCTCAGATGATCCTTTGGGTTACCTATTATATGAAAAGATGCTCTCTGCCCACTCTTAGGGAGGAACACGGTTAACTCTGTCCCAGTACAACAATCAAAACTGTAAACTCATAGACAAGGGTAGAGCTCAGTGGCACAGTGCTTACCTAGTACACACAAAACTGGGTTCCATCCTGTTATGGTTTGTGTCTAGATGCTCCCTATCCTGCAACCCTCATGTAGCCACAGGTAGGGCTGTTCAGAGGTGGCTGGGTCTAGAGTATGTGATGCTAGGACTAAGGTTGCGTGATTACTAAGTCAGTCAAGTGATTGGTTGGACATAGTTCTGGGTGTGGATAATGGGAAGGCCTTCCTGATGTGAGCAGCCCCCACTCTAAGGACATGTCACCTGAATAGATAAAGGGCAGAAAGAGGACTGCCACCATTGCTTGCTGCTGCTTCCTTGTTACTTCAATGCCCTGCTGCCCATCATGAACTGTTTCTCCGTTGCCACTCCACCTTGCCTTGGAGGCAGCCTACTATGAATAGAAACCTCCAAAAACCATTTATTTTATTATTTTTTTAAATTTTATTTTATTTTATTTTGCAGAACCAGGGATTGAACTCAGGCCCTTGCGCTTGCCAGGCAAGTACTTATTCTACTGAGCTAACTCCCCGGCCCAAAACCATTTATTTTAAACAAAATAAACCTTTGTTTAACTTTGGGTGTTGGGTATTTTGTCTCAGCAGCAATGAGAAAAGTAAGACATCCTCAGTGCTGCAAACAACCCCTCTGCAAACCCTACAAATTCTTCAACAGGTCACTCTGGGTGTTTTGGTACTGGGAGTCTAACTCAGGACCTTGCACTTGCCAGGGAGGCACTGTGCCACTGAGCTATATCCCTGGCCCTAAAAGCTCATTTTAGATGAACTCAATTGGCATCTAAAAACAAGTTCTAGCATGGACATGAACTTAAAGGCATCTTCTGCTGATGTAGACTACCTTTTAACATTTTACTCAGAGTCAGAATGATTACAAAGACCTAAGTAACCATGTTAACTTGGCCCTCAGCTCATCTCAGAGTCCCCCTACCTTTGCTTAGGTCTCCACTTCAGCAGGAAGCACAGCTGCCTAATACATACCATGTAGGATGACATCACTGTGAAGAGTCTGAGGTTCTACCAGAGGCGTGTGCTCCTCACTGCTGCTGGGCTTCAGGCGACAGAGCCGGGCTTCTGGGTTTGGCTGGACCATGAGGGGCTCCAAGCGCTTCTTCCTCTGCTTCTTCTCCAGAAGTGCTCTCTAGGAAGCAGAAGGGATGTCACAGCCAGCAGACCTGACCAACAGTCCTTCCCCACCTAGGGATGGCTTGGCAATCTGACCACTCAGCTACATCACCAGCCCTTCTCTCACATCTTATTTTGAGTCAATCTCACTAGGGCGACAGGTTGCCTTTAACTTTTGGTCAGTGTGCATCAGCTCCCCCAAGAAGCTGGATTTACAGATGTGCTCCACCTTGCCCTACTGGCTCTTTTGAATACTTACAGTGTTTTTCACTGATTCGCTGAAAAACAGCTATGAATTATTTTTCCCCATAAATTGAGGTACATTTTGACAAATATTTATCAAATACCGATAAAAATCTATTTAAAATCATTCAATACATTTCTAGCACAGATGATACTCTGATTCAAGTCTACCAAAAAGTCATTATTATGTTTGTTTAATTTGTTTGTTTGTTTTTGTGTGTTTGGTACAGGGTTTCACTATGTAGTTCAGATTCACAGTGATCCTCCTGTTTTCAGCCTCTCCAGTGCTAAGATTATAGGCAAATGCCACCATGCCCAGTCTCGGTAGTTGGCTCAGCACGCCTGGGGGGCAGAGCTGGCTCGGCATGTGGTGCTGGAAATCGAACCCTGGTCCCTGCACTTGCCTAAGCAGCTGCTTAGTCTACTGAGCTATCTTTTTTTTTCTTTTTGCAGAACTAGGGATTGAACTCAGGCCCTTGCACTTGCCAGGCAAGCACTTATTCCACTGAGCCATCTCTCCGGCCCCTGCTGAGCTATCTTGCCAGCCCTTAGTTTGGATTTTTGAGACAGGGTCTTGCTATGTAGTTTAAGTTGGCCTTGAACTCTCTGTATATAGCCCAGGCTGGACTTGAACCTGTGGCAGTTCACCTGTCTCATCCTTCTTAGTGCTAGGTTTGTGGCATGTGCCACCACACACAACTTCATTATCATTATAATCAAAGCATAATCATAGGTTAAAAATGTGTAAACACATGAACGGGGAAAAGATCGGGGATCACAAAAAGTTACTTCTTTCAGTGACAAACTAGAAATTTTTTTTTTTCAAGTTTTCTGCATTTTCTAAATTATCTTAATTTTTAGTTTGGAATAAAAAAGTGATTATATTCTAAAATCCACATTATTTTCATGTTTTAATCAGGCAAAGTGCAAAGAGTTTTGCCTTCCTGATCATCTTTTTTTTTTTTTTTTAATTATTGGATTTAAAAAAAAATTATTTTGTCTTGTTTTTGGCCTTTTTATTTTATTTTTTGGAGGAACTGGAGATTGAACTCAGGACCTTGCGCTTGCCAGGGAAGCGCTTATTCTACTGAGCCATCTCCCCGCTTCCTGATCATCTTATAAAAGTAGCAATCAAATGAACTTGGGCCAGAGGTAAGAAAAACATGGTCGCTGGCACACTCCAGCTGGAAAGCAACCAATCTATAGATGAAACCGGGCTATGGTACTCCTAGCTACTTGGATAGCTGAGGCAGGAAGATCACTGGAAGTTGAGGCTATCTTGGGAAATACAGTGAGATCTCACCTCAAAAATAAACCAACTCCCCCCATAATACAAGAACAAGATATAGAGTATGGCAGAAAGAAGAAAGTATGAGAGACAATTAGTAAAAAAGTCCAATAAGATGAAATGGAAAATACACACATATATGGCATTCATACACATGTACAATATACTATATAGCACATATTATATGCTACTATATTACTACAAAGTATAGAATATTTGTAAGATTTGGCAATAAGAGCTTATAGTAAATAAAAATTATTATGGATCTGGTATATCTGAGAAAGGAAAAATGCCAAGTCCCAAATATAATGGCTTATGTTTAAACATCCTTCCAAAGCCTTGTGGTACTTTTTTGAGGTGGCTGGATTTAGGGTGTATGATGCTGGGATTAAGTATGTGATACTGGGGCTGGGGAGATGGCTCAGTAGGATAAGCACTTGACTGGCAAATGCAAGGATCTGAGTTCAATCCCCGGTTCCGCCAAAAAAAAAAAAAAAAAAGGATGTGATACTGTGATAAAGGGTGTGTGATTACTAAATTAGTCCTCTGATTGATTTGGCATATAACTGCCTGTGCATAATGGGAAGACTGGATGTGGGATTCTTTGAAGGGATAGGGGAAGGGCAGGCTGTAGCTGCTGTTGTTTGCTTCTTTGCTGTTTTGCTGCCTGCTGCCTGCCATGAACTATTCTATGAATTAAAACCTCTATGAGCTGTGAGCTGAAATAAATAAACCGTTCCTCCTTTAACTTTGGGTTTTGGGTACCTTATCTTAGCAACAAGAAAAGTAATGAAGAAACCAAGTTTTAAAAAAATGAGTCATGATTAAAAAGCAGACTTCTGGGAAGATGACACAATGGTGAGCAGCAGAGAACCTCTCCAAGATTTGATATCCAGTCACTGGAATATAGCAATGCGAAGAAGAGAAGGAGAAGTGGGTCCCCAGAACCCAGCAAAGATCTGAAGTGAGAACTAAAGTCCATGGGGAGAGTGAAAAGAGAGCTTTCAAAACAGGAAGAGGCAGTGGACGTCGCTTTCTCCCTGAGCCTGAAATCACTGCCCGGGAGGGTGAGCTTCAACCAGTAGATCCACCGGCAAACTTAGAGGCCTCCACGGAGAAGCCCACCAGTGGACTGCAGTGCTGGTGAATTATTCGGGCAAGACATCACCCAAGAAAGCACGATTAGCTGGTAGCCATCTTGGAGGGGGCCAACCAAACTCAGAACTCCAACAGCCAGCTCTCCATCTAGTGGCTCCCAGCGACAGGGTGAGGCTGCTGAGAAAGTTGGCAGGACATCAGGGAACCAAGTTCAAGCCAGGAGGAGGACCACACAGAGGGTTACAGACTGACAAATCAGGTTCCAGCCTCACAGCCAGAAACCAGCCTGAACTTTCATGGAATTAAACATACAGCCTTTAGTGAACAATGCTAGTCCTAGATTACTTGATTTGAAAACAAACAAACAAACAAAATAGTAAAATATAAAAACAAATTAACGTTTTATAGACCCCAGGAAAAGAATTTTTAGCAAAGTACAAAAATTTAAAGCATTCCTTTCTTTAATTTTGTAATTCTTTACTGTGGAATAGCTCAGGATGTAAGTTTAGTTCTAAGTAACAGAATTGGTAAGTAGACAGGGAAATGCAATTTAGATTATAAAATTCTTGCTTTAATAAAAATTCCTGGGGCTGGTGAGATGGCTCAGTGGTCTAAAGCACCTACTTAGAACAAGCTTAACAAAGCATAGGGACCACGGTTCAATCCCCCAGCACCACATGCCAGCCAGCCCCACCCCCTGTGAGCTGGCCACACACACACACACACACACACACACACACACATAAATAAAAATTAAAAAAAAATTCCTTAAACAGTGAAAACAAAAACAAAAAACAAAAAACAAATAGCCTTGCTGAGATTATCCATTATCTCAATGTAAAGCTATGACTGGCTTGCTGGGATTAATCAATTTGGATCTGGACTCTGCCCACTTTGTCTACCAGTGACAGCACAAGTACACCTTGAATACACTTGTCTTTTTCTTATTTTCTCTCTTTCCTTGTTTTTATGAGTGTGAACATGGTTTCTAGTTCATTGTTGTTCTTCTGTTCTCTTGTTTTTTTCCTTCTCCCTTTCCCTGCTATCTTCTTGACTAGTTTCCCAAAGACTGCATAATCTTGCTTTGTTCTCCAGCATTGCTTCTAATCTCTTCATCTTCTTTTATTTCTCCATTTTTCCTTCTAACTCCTTTCAAAATTTTTCCCCCAAGAGAAACATGAGTAGGTTTTTTTTTTTTAAATATTTTTTAAAAATTTTATTTATTTGTATGTGTGTGTGTGTGTGTGTGTGTGGCCAGCTCAGCCCACCAGGGGGCGGGCTGGCTGGCATGTGGTGCTGGGGGATTGAACCGCGGTCCCTGTGCTTTGC